TTTGTTTGTTGGAAATTTTTATAACTCTGATTTTATTTAACTCGTTGGGTAGAAATAGGGTGTTACATTAGTGGTATCAGAGCAAGTCGGTATGTCTGGTCAAGTTGTCGAGTCGTAGTTTTGTCTAACAATTGAGTATTGTTAATCTGAATCCTAATTGTTGTTTATGTTGTAGAGATAAGTTGAGATGGCTGGAAGGAATGATGTTGCACTTGCTGCTGCTCTGCAAGCGATGGCTCAGGCTATGCAGAATCAGCCGAATGCTGACGAGAATGTTGGATCTTGCAGTTTGGCGACTTTCAAAAGGGAGAATCCACCTACCTTCAAGGGTAAGTATGATCCTGACGGAGCATTGGATTGGCTGAAAGAGATTGAGAGAATCTTCCGTGTGATGGACTGTACTCCAGCGCAAAAGGTTCGTTATGGTACTCATATGTTAGCGGCCGAGGCTGATGACTGGTGGCTAGAGACTTGTCAAAGATTGGAAGTTGCAGGTGAGAATGTCACTTGGGTTGTGTTCCGTAGGGAATTTCTGAGGAAGTATTTTCGTGAAGACGTTCGTCGTAAGAAGGAAATTGAGTTTCTTTAGCTGAAGCAAGGGAGTATGTCGGTTGTTGAGTATGCTGCAAAGTTTTTTGAGTTGGATAAGTTTTATCCGCACTATAGTGAGGCAGATGCTGAGTTTTTGAAGTGCATCAAGTTTGAGAACGGGTTGCGCCATGAGATCAAGAAGGCAGTAGGATACCAAAATATTCGTGTCTTTGCCGATTTGATTGATAGTTGCAGGATTTATGAAGAGGATAATAATGCTCATTATAATATTATCAATGAGAAGAGGGGTAAGCACCAACAGAACTGTGGTAAGCCTTATGATTCCCTAACTGGAAAAGGTAAACAGAAAGTTGCTCAGAGTCAAAGGACTAGTTGAGGAGATGCTCCTGCTAGTGTGGTATGCTTCAAATGTGGAAAACCTGGTCATAAGAGTAATGTGTGTATTGCTGAGGTGAAGAGGTGTTTCCGTTGTGGTAAGACTAGACATGTTGTATCTGAATGCAAGCATAAAGAGATGATTTGTTTCAATTGCGGCGAAGAAGGACACATTGGTAGTCAGTGTCAGAAACCAAAGAAGGCGCAAACCAGTGGAAAGGTGTTTGCTTTGGCTGGGACTCCGTCAGCTAGTGAGGAGAGACTCATCAGAGGTACATGTTTCATTAATAGTACACATTTAATTACTATTATTGATATCGGTGCTACTCATTATTTTATTGCTGCTGATTGTGTTGAAAGATTGGGTCTTATGTTGTCTTCTATGAATGGAGAAATGGTCGTCGAGATTCCAGCTAAGGGATCGGTGACTACTTCTCGTATGTGTTTGAATTTCCCTTTGTCGATCTTCGGCAAAGAGTTTGTTTTTGACTTAATTTGTTTGCCATTAAGAGGATTGGATGTGATCTTGGGTATGAACTGGTTAGAGTATAACTATGTTCATATCAATTGCTATGACAATTCTGTGAGGTTTTCTACTGCTGAAGAGGAAGAAGTTGGTTTGTTAAATGGTAAACAGTTGCGACAACTGATGCAAGACAGAGTGCAAATGTTCTCGTTGATGGCGTCGTTATCAATGGAGAACCAAGTTAGAATTGATGATTTACAGGTGGTGCGCGAATTTCCTGAAGTGTTTCCGGATGAAATTCCTGGTGTACCGCCAGAAAGAGAAGTTGAACTTGCGATTGATCTTGTACCTGGTACCAGACCTGTTTCTATGGCACCGTACAGGATGTCGGAATATGAATTGTCTGAATTGAAGAAGAAGTTAGAAGAGTTGCTTGAGAAAAAGTTTGTAAGACCATGTGTATCACCGTGGGGAGCGCCAGTGTTGTTAGTAAAGAAGAAAGATGGAAGTATGAGACTTTGTGTTGATTATAGATAGTTGAATAAAGTGACGATTAAGAACAAGTATCCGCTTCCAAGAATTGATGATTTGATGGATCATTTGGTGGGTGCAAGTGTGTTTTCTAAGATTGATTTGAGGTCAGGATATCACCAGATTAGAGTGATAGAAGATGATATTCAGAAGACCGCGTTCAGAACTCGATATGGACACTACGAGTATTCGGTGATGCCTTTCGGTGTGACCAATGTGCCGGGAGTATTCATGGAGTATATGAATCGTATCTTTCATACTTTATTTGGATCGATTTGTGGTGGTATTCATTGATGACATTCTAATTTACTCTAAATCGGAAGAAGAACATGAAGAGCACCTAAGAGTTGTATTGCAAGTTTTGAAAGAGAAGAAGTTGTTTGCAAAGTTATCCAAGTGTGAATTCTAGTTGCAAGAGGTTAGTTTCCTTGGTCATGTCATTTCTGGTGGTGGCATTGTCGTGGATCCTTCTAAAGTCGATGTTGTGTTGCAATGGGAAGCTCCGAAGTCAGTTACCAAAATTAGAAGCTTTTTGGGATTAGCCGGTTACTATAGACGGTTTATCAAAGGTTTTTCTAAGTTGGAACTTCCATTGACTAAGTTGACTTGTAAGGGTAAAGCTTTTATGTAGGATATTCGATGTGAATAAAGTTTTACCGAGTTGAAGAAGAGATTGACGTCGGCTCCAGTTTTGACTTTGCCTAATCCGAGAGAGCCTTTTGTTGTGTATTATGATGCTTGTCTGATGGGATTAGGTGGTGTGCTCATGCAGAATAGTAAGGTGGTTGCTTATGCGTCGAGGAAATTGAGGACTCATGAAAAGAATTATCCTACGCATGATTTAGAATTAGCTGCAGTTGTCTTTGTGTTGAAAATCTGGAGGCATTATCTTTATGGTTCTGGGTTTGAAGTGTTTAGTGACCATAAGAGTTTGAAGTGTCTTTTTAATCAGAAAGAGTTGAATATGAGGCAGTGAAGGTGGTTATAATTGTTGAAGGATTATAATTTCAGTTTGAGTTATCATTCAGGAAAAGCTAATGTTGTGGCCGATGCTTTAAGTCGAAAGACTTTGCACATGTCGTCAATGATGGTTAAAGAGTTGGAGTTGATTGAGCAATTCCAGGATTTGAGTTTGGTTTGTGAAGTGACACCGCGAAGTGTTATGTTGGAAATGTTGAAGATTAATAATGAATTTCTGGATAGTATCAGAGAAGCTCAAAAGTTAGATGTGAAGTTGGTAGATTCGATGGATGGGATCGATCCGTCTGAGAACAATGATTTTAAGTCAGATGTGCAAGGTGTGTTGAGATTTCATAATTGAATTTGTATTCTTGATGATGCGGTGATGAAGAAAGTGATTCTTGAAGAGAGTCATAGAAGCTAGTTGAGTATTCATCCAAGAGCTACAAAGATGTATCAGGATTTGAATAATTTGTTATGGTGGTCTGGGATGAAAAGTGACGTGCCTCGGTTTGTGTATGCATGTTTGACTTGTTAAAAGTCGAAAGTTGAACATCATAAGCCTGCAGGATTGATGCAACCATTAGAGATTCCAGAATGGAAATGAGATAACATTTCAATGGATTTTGTAACGAGATTACCTAGTACCTTGAGAGGACATGATTCGATTTGGGTGATTGTTGATAAGCTTACGAAGTCGGCACACTTTATACCTATTAACATCACTTATCCGATTTTGAAGTTGGCATAGATTTACACCAGAGTAATTGTGAAGTTGCATGGTGTTCCTTTGTGTATTGTGACGGACAGAGATCCGAGGTTTACTTCTGATTTCTGGAAAAGTTTGCAAGAGGTGTTGGGATCTAAGTTGAGGTTGAGTTCGGCGTATCATCCTCAGACGGATGGTCAGGCCGAGAGGACTATTTATTCATTGGAGGATTTGTTGAGAGCATGTGTTCTTAAGCAGGGAGGTTCGTGGGATACTTATCTTCTGTTGATTGAGTTCACTTACAATAACAATTACCATTCTAGTGTTAGGATGGCACCTTTTGAGGCGTTGTATGGTCAGAGGTGTAGGACTCTGTTGTGTTGGCATGAATCAGGTGAAAGTGTGGTACTTGGACCTAGAATTGTTCGAGAGACTACTGAAAAAGTGAAGCTTATCCGAGAGAAGATGAAAGCTTCTCAAAGTAGACAGAAAAGTTACCATGACAAGAGAAGGAAAGATTTGGAATTCCAAGCTGGTGATCATGTGTTTTTTAGAGTCACACCTGTGACTGGTGTTGGGCGAGCTCTGAAGTCTAAGAAGCTCACTCCTCGTTTTATTGGTCCGTATCAGATTTCTGAAAGAGTGGGAAATGTTGCTTATTGAGTGGCTTTACCGCCTAATCTTTCGAATTTGCATGATGTGTTTCATGTATCATAACTCTGTGATTCAGATGGACGATGTGCAAGTACAGGATAATCTCACGGTGGAGACGATGCCTGTGTGAATCACTACACCAAATTTGTCTTTTAGCAGCACCCCTACTAAAGCGCTTTTTGTAAAAGCGCTGGTATAGGTTGCGCTAAAAACAAAATAAAAAAACACGCTAAAAAAGCGCTCTTAAAGGGGGGGGGTTACAAAAGCGCTTTCAGAAAGCGCTCTTAGAGGCTGGGGTACGAAGGCGCTTTTGAAAAGCGCTCTTATAGTGGGGGGGTATGAAAGCGCTTTCTGAAAGCGCTCTTATAGGGGGCTTATGAAAGCGCTTTCAAAAGCGCTGATATAGGGGGTGGGGTACAAGAGCGCTTTTATCCTCAAAAGCGCTGGTATAGCCTTAGTTACGAAAGCGCTTTTCAAAAGCGCTGTCATACCCTCTTTACAATTAAAATTTTTTAAAACAAGAAATCGTTCATTCTCACAAAATCTTGCATTCTCAGAATACTCTTGCATTCTCAGAAAACTCACAAAATCGTTTCAAAATCTTGCATTCTCAGTTCTCAATCGTCTTCAATCGTTTCCAAATCCCTAAGCTTGGAATCGTCTTCAATCGTTTCCAAATCCCTAAGCTTGGAATCGTCTTCTCCGTTCTCAATCGTCTTCTTCGAAAGAAAAAAAGCTTGGAATACTTAAGGATCAAGAGCTTGCTTCATCAAGTCGTCTCCAATATTTCATCATCATCTTCTTCCTAGAGGTGAGTTCATAGTTAAATTTTAGCTTTGAGAGAAAAATCCATGGTTGGGAAGTTAGGGTTTGTGTTGTTGTTGTTATGAACATGAAACTGTATTTTAGATTTTTCCATTACTTATGAACACCAGGTTCTCAAGTATAATGAAACTAAAACATACCATTTATTTGAAAGGGAAACCATTTTTTCAGATGTAAGAGAAAACCTCTGGTCATGCTGTGAGAGGTTCAGTTAAGATGTCTTGTTAATTTCACAAGAAATAAAGTTAAATGTATAGAACTGATAGCTTGCAGCTCAAACGACACTAAACTAGATGTTGTATTTATAATGCAAAGCTGATTGTAGTTTACCTTGTTTTAGCTTGAATAGGCAGCAAAAAGTTGTTAAAATCAAGAGTTTATGAAAAGTTATAATAATACAAGTTTTTCAACAAAAAAAAACATCAATTCATTATACCCCTCTCAAGTCTCAACTATAATATGCTTTTTCTTTGTCCTGAATTCAATTATATATACTTATAACTAGGTAGCTTTAGCTCTGGTATTCAATGTAACTATGGAGTATATATTATTATAGACATACTATCCTAGCTCTTATTCTATAATACTCCAAAACTACTTAGACTCACTGTGAGGAATATGCATATACAGTGACCAATTGATGTTATCATTTTGATGGTTGCAAAATGAATTATTAACAATATAGGAGAAACTATATGAAGCTATGATAAAAACAGGTATCATCCAAATACTAATGATATATGAAAAGTTAAACCTTGATAGAGACAAAGAGAGTGAAATGTGATGTTGAAAAGTTCCAAATGTAGAATGGTAGTAAAAGTAGTGTGAAGTTCTTACAGCAAAGTTATTTATTTTCAAGTCTGAAAATGCATTCATATTTGTCTGATTTCTTGAAACAAGTAACTACATGTCCTATTCAAAGCATATAATGTGCAACTAAATACTTCACCAGCTAAGAAAAACTCTCACTCTATAGAATGCTCCGAACATATTATTCCTCAAATATAATCTTGCACAAACTCTCAATTTCAATATTGTCAGATTCACTATTTTACATATAGTCTACTTCTTCATTTACTATACTTTTTGAAACATATGTATCTAGTATAGTATCAAGTAATAAAGTTTTTAGCTACCTTTTTGGCCTATAGACAAATTGATACTAGCCATTCGTGAATATATTGTATTTAACCATGGAAAAATTTGTTGAAATCAATCTTTGATGTATGATGTATATGTTCATTTTTGTTGGTGAAAACTTAAGAAGACATATGGTGTATATGTTCATTTTTGTTGGTGACACTTCATAAATTGGAAAATGATGATGTTGCATTTAAGCAAACTCATAGGGGCCTCTATGTCAGTCTGCATGCTTTACCAAAATACATATCCCACCCAAGGAACTGCATTGATATTATGTATATACTGCTACACATTCATAACAATTCAAGGCAAAGCTCTTTTATGAGAAAATGATTTAGCAGCCATCAATTTTGTTCTATCAAAAGAAAGGAAAGATTTTATTTTCAAAAACTATGTTAACATAATTGGTATGTTATTAAATTTTTACAGCTGCATGCTTTTTTTGCATTAAAACTTGATCACATGCATTTCACAATAGCTAGCTAGATCCTCCACTTTTCTCTCTCTCACCAAAAATGACTATGATTTTTCTGTTCTCATCTCCTAGCTAGGTACACATATATAGTGTCTATTAAGTATGTTAATATACTAATTAATTAAACTATCAAACATAGTATGCAATAAAATAAACTTGCTTGAACTGAATGCTAAAAAAAAACTTGATGGTGGCCAAGTAAAATTTGAAATAAGGTTAATGTTTTATGTACATTTATTTAGAAAACAGTAGTTTATTGTACATGTAGAGAAAGCTAGTATAGGTGAATGAAATTGGTAGTATGAAAAGAGAGAGAGATATAGCTAGGTAACAAATAATAGAAGAAGGTGAATTATACCCGACACCAGGAGGAAATGAGAAAGAGACACACATCAAATAAAACCATTCTGATTCTGTTAAGTCTTCCGGCGACAAAGAAGCACATGGTCGACGAGTTGGTGGATTTGTCTCTCCGGCCGATAACGATTCATAGAGTTCTCTTAGTTGCTGGCTTCTTTGTAGAGAAGCTTCTTCTGGACATGGAGTTGGAGCAGCCATTCTTCTACGAGGCATTAATCATATTGTTCCGGAAGTAGTAAAAAAATGTGAATCAACAAAAATTGGGCTGTGTTGTTTCATGAGAACTAAAAAGACAATGAAAATGAGTGTTTTGGATGGGGATTTTTCTGAGCTGAACTGAAAATCAAACCATGTAAGATATAAGAAAGAACAGATAGTAAACTGAACTTTCAACAAGGAGTATATTCTATATATATGTAGACTTGTAGGTATGGCTTGTAGTTGAGATAATGGAAGAAAGTTTGTTGGTTAAGAAAAGAGAAAAGAAAAATTCTCATACCAATACTAGTTTTATGCGTTTTGTAAAATTCTTTTTTTTATGTTCAAAACATTTTTCAAACAAAGCTCTTGTTTGCTTAGAATAGTAATTATTACATATAAATTGTATTATCATCTTTCCTCGTGGACTCATAATTTTAGTCATTGTATTTTGATATTTGTTGACACATCTACTACACATACAATAAAAATTTTAAACAAGACTATCAAAAATTAAGTTCAAACTTAAAACATCTTTTTATTTAAAAGAGATTTCTTACAATTTTAATTTCATATATTTATCTATCGTTAAGTGAGGTACTTACTAACTTTGTGAATTGAATTCGCCATAGGGGTTACTTGTGAAGAGTGAAAGTTTGACCGGTTTTGTTTAGCTTAATTAAGACATGGATAAGACATGGATGAATTCAAACCGATTGTCGAAAGAGTACGAGAAAGGGGTATGGGAATTTGTTGAGTTTGCGGTTGCGCACTCCAAAGACCCGCTTCGAATGCCGTGTCCTTGCTTGGGTTGCTGTTATGCCGGGGGTAAGGTTGACGGGAATCAGTTGGGATCTCATTTACTACGGTTTGGAATTGATAGAAGTTATACATGTTGGACAATGCATGGTGAGAAAAGTACCGGGAATGCTGAGTCGAGTTGTAATAGGAAGTATGCTTCAAACGACGATTGCACAGACACATACGATTGTGATCGAGTCGAAGAGATTGCAGAAGCGCTTGAAGAAGATCTTGCGGATTGTCCCAAAATGTTTGAGAGGTTGGTAAGCGATGCAGAGAAACCGTTGTATGTTGGTTGTTCAAAATTCACAAGATTGTCTGCGGTGTTAAAGTTGTACAACTTAAAGGCGGACAATGGATGGTCGGATAAAAGTTTCACAGAGTTATTAGCCCTTATGAAAGATATGCTACCAGAGGATAATGTTCTTCCCAATCGAACGTATGAAGCCAAAAAGATGTTGTCTTCTATTGGAATGAGTTATGATAAGATACATGCATGTCCAAACGATTGCGTTTTGTTTCGAAACGAGTATGCAGCGTTGAATGAGTGTCCTAAATGTGGTGCCCCTCGATATAAGAAAAAGTTGTCTCCTGCTAAAGTCTTATGGTATTTTCCTATAATTCCGAGATTTAGACGCATGTATCGTAGTGAGACCGATTCAAGACACTTGACTTGGCATGCAGATGAAAGAATTATTGATGGAAAGTTGCGACATCCGGCAGACTCACCACAATGGAGTAAAGTTGATACTGAATATCCTGAATTTGGAAAAGAAGCAAGAAACCTTCGGTTGTCATTGTCTACTGATGGAATGAACCCGCATGGTATTCAAAGTATCTCGCATAGCACATGGCCTGTGATTCTTATGATTTATAACTTACCTCCGTGGCTATGTATGAAGCGTAAGTACATGATGTTATCTATGCTGATTTCTGGGCCTAAACAACCAGGGAATGACATAGACGTATACTTGGCACCCTTAATCGAAGATTTAAAGTTTTTGTGGGAGAGAGGTGTGGAGGTTTACGATGGGTATAGGAAAGAAAGTTTCAACTTGAGGGCGATGTTGTTTGGAACAATTAATGATTTTCCAGCATACGGAAATCTATCCGGGTACAGCAACAAGGGTCAAAAGGCGTGTCCTGTTTGTGAAGATGAAACCGATACGACACGATTGGCGCTTTGTCAGAAGAATGTCTTTCTCGGCCATCGTAGATTCTTAAATTCTAATCATCACTACCGTGGGTGGAGAAAAGCATTCAATGGAGAGGCCGAACATCGTACAGCCCCGCCTTTTTTGTCAGGTGATCAAATTTTTGAAAAGGTGAAAGATGTGAGCACTCAGTTTGGCAAGCCTTTTGCACATTCAATTGTCAAGGGTGGGTGGAAGAAGAAGTCAATTTTCTTTGAACTTCCATATTGGAAGTCGTTGTACGTAAGACATTTCCTGGATGTTATGCATATTGAAAAAAATGTATTTGACAGCGTTATAGGTACGCTACTCAATATACAAGGAAAGTCTAAGGATGGCGTTAACATAAGGAATGACATGGTAAACATGGGGATGAGAACTGAATTGGGGCCCGTGACGAAAGGAAGACGAACATATCTGCCACCTGCTGTTTACACTCTATCTAGAAAGGAGAAGAAAACATTGTGTAAGTTCCTCAGTGAAGTAAAAGTTCCAGAAGGCTACTCTTCAGATATTAGAAGACTTGTGTCCATGAAAGACCTCAAGTTAAAGAGTTTGAAGACGCATGATTGCCATGTTATAATGGAACATTTTTTACCAATAGGTATACGTTCTATTCTGCCAGAAAAAGTAAGAAGCGCAATAACTAAGCTGTGTTTCTTCTTCAGGTCTATTTGCAGTAAGGTGGTCGATCCCGCGATCTTACCAACATTGCAAAATGAGATAGTTGTTACTTTATGTGATCTTGAAATGTATTTTCCTCCCTCGTTTTTTGACATAATGGTTCATCTAGTCGTTCATCTTGTGAAAGAGACACAACTGTGCGGACCAGCTTATATGAGATAGATGTACCCTGCTGAACGTTATATGAAAATATTAAAAGGGTACGTGAAAAACAGAAGTCGACCAGAGGGTTGTATTGCCGAGCGATACGTTGCTGAAGAAGCGGTTGAGTTTTGTACTGAATATCTGTCAAATGTTCAATCAATTGGACTCCCCAAATCTCATATTGTCGAAAAAAAAGAAGGAAAAAGGCTAATTGGAAATAAAGTTGTGACAGTATCAATGGTCGAACGGGATCAAGTGCACTTGTATGTTCTGCACAATGAGATTGAGGTTGAGCCGTTTGTTGAAATGCACAAAGTTGTTCTCCGAGATTTAAATCCAAATAGAAATGAGAACTGGATAGTACGAGAGCACAATCGAAGTTTCATACCGTGGTTTAGAGATCATATTTATTCAAAGTATCGTTCAGATCCTGCTTCAGTAACAGAAAGGTTGAGATGTTTAGCCTATGGTCCATCTGTAATTGTGCTTTCTTATAGCGCATACGCAATTAATGGATACACATTTTATACCAAAGAACAGGATGATAAAAGTACTATGCAAAATAGTGGTGTTACCTTGGTAGCTGAAGCTATGCACATATCAAGTGCGAATGACTTAAATCCGAAATTTGCAAATTTGTCATATTTTGGGGTTATCGAGCGCATTTTGGTGTTTGATTACGCGAAGTTTCAGATTCCTGTATTTGGTTGCAAGTGGGTTGAAAATAATAGTGGCGTACGAATGGATAAGTCAGGATTTTTGCAAGTGGATCTCAATAGGGTAGGGTACAAAGATGAGCCTTTCATTCTAGCCTCTCAAGCTAAACAAGTGTTCTATGTCAATGATCCGACAAGTACGAAATGGTCTATAGTGCTTTTATCTAACAAAATAGTTGATGAAAAAATTGAAGATCAAGGTGATATTGGTGTTGGCATTGAATCTTGTACAAGAAACGATCAAAATGAGAATGAATCTTGTATTAGAAATGATCATAATGAGGGTATTTTGATCAATCCAACCGTCCGCATTGTTAAGAGACGCGTAGTACACAATCCTACCAAGAAAAGAAAGAGACGTTAGTGATAAAGTTAGTGTTAATAGTGTCAATGTTTTAGTTTGTTTGATACAGGTTCAAAATTTGAAGCATTTTTTCTGTGTCAATGTTTCTTGGAATTGGATTAGTATATATTTTGTATGCTATGATGACTTGTTTTATTTTGTATATATTTTAATGGTGTACATGTTCAAATATATACATGTTCTCTCTATTTCAATCTTAATATGAGTATCATCTAATATTATTTTTGTCATTTTTGTCTCCTTCATTTTCCTTAATATCTTCACTAATGGTTTTTATTGGTTACTGGTTCATATACCATCTACATATTATCTAGTTGTTCAAGAGTTAAGGGGTAATTCGAATTAAAGGTATTATCTTTTTATTTTGTTTTAAAGTTTTCATTTTTGTTTTTAGTATATCCTCCAACAGTGTTTTGTTTTTATTTTAATATTAAGATGTTTTTTCTAACATTTTTTTTATGTTTTAGGTATCTCTTCAAAGCAAGAAAAATATTACTGGACTGCTTATTTATTATCTATGGGTTTAGTTTCTTTTGTTGTTAAATACTTTATTATTTTTAGTAAAAGGGGTTGAGTTTTGAGGTTAGAATTGTGTAAGGTTTTAGTTTGTTTGATATCATGAAAATAGTGTACTAATGTGCTTTAGTTTGTTTGATACAGGTTCAATGGCTCCAGATAGAGATGCTCCACCTGAAAACCCACCTGAAAACTCACAAGAAAACTCACAAGAAAGAGTTGCTTCGGATACAAATGCTCCACCTGATACTGAAGCAAAAGAGGTTGCACGAGGCATCACTATTATGAAGGGAATCATTCGACATAGAGACCAAGGATTAGTATACCGATTGGAATGGAATTCTGATAAACAACCAATTGGTCCTAATTCTGCAAAGTTGACAAGTTATATTGGTACACTTGTCCGTATGCATATTCCGGTCTCCGTAGCTACCTGGAAATCGAAAACGAAAAATGCAGAATTGGAGGAGAAAAAACAAGCGATTTGGGAAGAGCTTCAGGTATATATCATATATGGTTAATTGTTGTTATTATCTTGACGATAAATTGTTTAAATTACTTATACTAACACACTATGCGTACGTTTTTTTGCAGAGG